CCTCAAAATGACATCTAGGCTAATGTTGGGCCAAATATTAGGGTACTGTGGCCTAGTCAAGTTGACATATAAAATTAACCATTCCACCGTGGGTCCTTAATCTAAAATCTTGTGCTTTTTCTATTATGAATAAGGGTTTATGATACTGCAGAAGAGAAAGACATTATAATATAGGCTGTTAACTGTTTACCTAATATTAATTCCTCTCTTTTCCCTTCCTAACAAAATATAAAATGTTTGTATGAAGATCAAGGAGCCTACCTAATATATGAAACTTTCTAGTCTTCCCTACCATTATAGTTGGCCAGAGAAATGTAAGTGAAGTCATTGGATACAGTTCTGGGAAAGTCCTTTAAAGGGGCTAGCAGATTCAGCTGCCCTGATCAGCTGTAGGGCCTCTTGACTTTTTCCCTGTCCTTCTTTCTCTTGCCTTGAATTTGGACTGATGACTGAAGCTAGTGTAGATATCATATAATCACAAGTATCTAGAGCACCTGAGGGAGCCAAGACCTAACATTTTTTGAGCTGATGAACCAGCGGCAGTTACTATTACCAGATTCCTTATTACATTAGAAAAGAAAAATGTCTTTATTGTTTTTCTAAGCCTGTGTTAATGTATGCAAACTAAATCCTACATTGATCCAGACAAGGACACAGATCACTACAATGAACATCTTGAAAACTGAACAGTGATTAAAATTTTGAGACTGTACCTAAGGAAATGAGTAAAAAGGAACAAGTTGATATAAACTAGACACAATAAGTACATCAAACACTAGCAAAGACTATGAAACAGGTACACTGGAGGACTGAACAGCTGCCATTGAATTCAGCAGAAAGGTAACTGGACCTAAATGGCTATAGGAAAAAAGGATGTGGACACTTAAAAGAACTAAACTTCTAAGCCGCAATGTTAGGAGAATCACTGGAATCGATTATAGTGAAAATTGTGTACCTTGTTTCTCTGAACCTTTCTGAAAAGTGAAAAGACAGGAGAATGACAAGGACAAGTTAGCTGTCCTCATTTGCAGTCTTCACTCCATATGCCTCCTCCTGACAGACCCTTTGAAAAACTTATCTTGACTGGTTTGTCAGTGTAAGCACGTTCTCATCCCAAGGTTTTTTGCACAAAGACTTTAATGGGTTAAGCCAATTTGTAGTTGTAACTACAAATACCCACTTTGCAGCAAGAGCCGAATCACAAATCACTTTTAAACATTATTTTCTAATCATAGAAAATGGACTGGGGAGACACAAAGAGGGAAAAAAAACAGATATGTAATCTGTTTGGAGTGACTTAAATTAACTCCTCCTTTTAGCCAGAGGGCTATCTCTGAGCTTTCCACAGCCACAAACCATTTCCTAAAGATATTCTTCTTATGAGTAGCCAGTTTTATGAATAGAATGCGGAGTTGCACAGTAGTAATAGAGGTATAAGTGGGAGGATTTGTGAATCTACTTCTCTAGACTCCGTTGAGGTGGAGTGATGACCTTTGACACAAGACAGTCATTTGCTAGGAATGAACATAGACTACCTTTATGGGAAGGAGAATAGAGTATGACAAATTTTAGCCAAGTTCAATGTCAGAGATGGGAGAACAAAGATCCATCTAGCACTAAGTGGTTAGGACAGCAGGAGAATGAAACTAGAGGGCCAGAAACAGGTGGTTAGCAAATACAAGGCTGGAATTGTGGCTGAAATTCCAGACCAAAGGCAATATAGCCTATCTTCCTCCTTCCTGCCCTTCTTTCCTTCATTTCTTTTCTTTTTTTTTTTCTGAAGACAGGCACAAACAAGACCTGTCTGAACTCTTGTAACTAACTGATGGTAGCTGAAAACAACCAAGGGTATCAGAAGTACAGTGTTCATTATCCCAGGCAAACTTCTTCCTGTCAATTCTCTCAAAATCCAGCTTACTGCTTGTATTAGTCCACTTTCACACTGCTATAAAAAACTACTTGAGACTGGATGATTTATAAAGAAAAAAAGTTTAACTGACTCACAGGTCCACGTGTCTCTGGAGGCCTAAGAAACTTACAATCATGTCAAAAGGTAAAGGCGAAGCAAAGCAGGTCTTATATGGTAGCATGAGAGAGAGAAAGAGAGAAGTTCCACATTTTTAAACCATCAAATCTTGTGAGAACTCATTCACTACCACGAGAATAGCATGGGGGAGACCATCCCCATGAGCCAATCACCTCCCACCAGGTCCTTCCCTCCACACGTGGGGATTACTATTGGAGATGAGATTTGGGTGGGGTCACAGGGCCAGACCATATCACTGCTGCAGAAAATGATTTTCATTCACAGTTCACCTTTGAGATGTCTTTTGGGAAGAATAGAAATATAAGGTATTTTCTTTTTCTCTCTCTTTCTTTCTTTCTTTCTTTCTTTCTTTCTTTCTTTCTTTCTTTCT